TATATATATATATATATATATATATATATATATATATATATGTGTGTGTGTGTGTGTGTGTGTGTGTGTGTGTGTGTGTGTGTGTGTGTGTGTGTGTGTGTGTGTGTGTGTGTATGTATATATGTATATGTGTATATATACATATGTTCAAAAAATACCCTTGTGATTAGAACAAGAGTTATAGTCATTTTGGTCAATCATTGTAAGTTACATTATGCACATTCTTGTTGTGAGGTGTGTCAGTCGGCACTCAGAGAATACTTCGAGGATCATTGTCAGTGAGTACCACACAAATTTTAGCTCAATATAAAGAAAAGTGACCATTTTTGTGTTTTTTTAAGGTCAATTAGCTGTAGCAGTTATCCTGAATGTGGTTGATTCTAAAAGCTATTGAACAAATAGAGCCAATTAATACTTTTTGGCAGTTTCATTCAAACTTGTCAAGTCACTCATGATATTTTTGGCTAACGCGACAAAAACACACACACATACACCGACATAATCATCACCCAAAGGTGAGGGATAACCACTTTTGTTTTGAGTCTTAGAAAATCATGCAGTGTTTTTTGTTACTTCACTGGCATTTAAATGTATTTGAAATATTCAGACTTGCTCAAACACCCATAAACTGTCAGGTATGTATTAGCACATATAGAGAGCTTTTAGAAGAACAGTTTAAAATTTAAAATTTATTAATTTTGAGTCCTGGTTATGAATAAATTGTCAAAAATCACTAAATTACATTTTATGCTGTGTTTGAGATCAAATAATACAAATCTAGGAAACTCACTTTACCATGAACAATTTTAAATAGCATTAACAACACGGGCACCAAAGGAAGTGCTTTTAGAAATAGTGTAAATTCAACAGTTTCTTTATTTTTACAGTGCACATTCACCTCTTAAAACATGCTCTGATACATTTTAATAAAACTATAGACATGGTAATAAAACTTGTGTGACTGGGACTTTTTATAAATGGAAAACTTTTCAGTGTTTTACTCTTTCCTTCTATTTCTAAACAAAAATAAGTTGATTTGTTGGCTTCTGATTCATCTTTGGGACATCTTAATCATTTTGTATCAGCCAAGGAACATCAAAGCATTTTAATAATAAATTTGAAATAACTAAGTCAAAGCTTTAGATTTCCAAAAACAAGAATATCTTTGGACAAAGCACTCAGTCGTTACGCTGCATGTATAATCCAGAGATGCAACATCAATTTAACACTAATAATAAGGAGTGAAGATGTGTTGTTTTCAGCTGTGCACCTCTGTACAGTGAAGAAACTTTGCTTCCAGCTGTTTATCCTAATCAACTCATCCTATCAGCACTGATGTATAATTTGTTTCCTGGGTGACTCACACTGAAGAAGAGGAGGATAGGCTCAAAGACCAGAGGAAGATGGACAAAGGTGTGTAGCTTGGGGGACACTCTGATTAAACACCAGCCTGGATGGGCATGCACAATGGCTGATCCAGGCTCCTGTGATGGTTCTGTTGTAAACGCTCCCTCTGCTGGACCCTGGCAGGGCCAAACAGCTCCGTGTCACATGAGAGGCCCGACAGAGTCACTGCGAGCCAGGATGCTATTCTTAGACGAAGGAATGTACACAGCAGCCTCATGGCAATCTCCACAGCTCCTAACGGGAAAACGTTGTCAGTTCTATGTCATTTTGCGTTCAGATGCATGCCTGGATAATGCTTTAACTCATTTTTTTTGTTTGTTTTAATTCTTGTTTTCTCTCCAGCTGAACACACATTGTGGGTATTTTTGATTCCCTGAGGGCAGGAGGTAAGACTTCACTGGATCAAAAACAAGTTAAGCTAAGAGAAAATACAGTTAAAGCCATCAGATTCACTCTTAAATCATTTGTTTTTAACTCATCAGAGTGTTTGTAATGTGTTTCAGCACATGTCAGCTCTCCTGCTTCATCTTTGTCCATAAACCTCTAACTACTTTCATTTTATTGTTAATTGAAAGCTCTCTTTTCACATTTAAGAGAGCGCTGGTTACATTTTAATTTACAAAGGAACTCATGATTTATCAAAGATAATACTTTCAGTTTTAAAGTGTTCGGTTAAATTGCCTAAAAATGTGAATATTTTAAATTGGTTTGCAGGATTATGGAAAAAAAATTAAAATGCTCAGTTTAAATCAAATTTTAGTTGTTGTTTTTTTGAGTGTGATGTTTTAATGTTATTCATATAAGATCTGGCTCTCCGGCAGCAATCTGAGGTTAAAATGCCTGCTGTGAAACGTCACTGTCACCCACTCACATTTAATAATACTTAATAATAATTAGGTGTCTAAATATGTCAGGCAGGCTGGGCCCCATAAGTGGGATTAAATCAAGTGTTTTACTCAGAGATGCTGCTAATAGTTCAATGAAATTCATGCTGGATCATCCCCAGTCACCCCCTCCCCCACTGAACTGGAGAGAAGAAGAAGATGAAAGAAGAAATTTAAAATAGCAGCAGAGATTGGGAGGGAGAACTTGGTCCAGAGGGAGAGATTCAGAGTGACGAAGAGACAAACTCTGTTGACGCGTCCTTTTAATGTTTGCAGTGACGGGCAGCCTGATGACGGATGTGGCCTCATGGCGGACCGGTGTATCGAGATAATTTAGATGGGGGTTAAAATAGAAAATAGAAAGTCAGTGAATCATATCAGGACAGCTGTTCTGGAGGAGGCATAAATGAAAGAAATAAACTCAGTCACAAGAAACACTGGTTCATGGATGGATGGATGCATGGATGGAAGATGTATGTATGTATGTATGTATGTATGTATGTATGTATGTATGTATGTATGTATGTATGTATGTATGTATGGATGTATGTATGTATGTATGTATGTATGTATGGATGTATGGATGTATGTATGTATGTATGTATGTATGTATGTATGTATGTATGTATGTATGTATGTATGTATGTATGTATGTATGTATGTATGTATGTATGTATGTATGTATGTATGTATGTATGGATGGATGGATGGATGGATGGATGGATGGATGGATGGATGGATGGATGGATGTATAGATGTATGGATGGATGGATGGATGGATGGATGGATGGATGGATGGATATCAATCTTGATATCCTGATGACTATCCGTGCTGCTGATATCTTGCCTTTATGCTGCTGTACTGTTTTCATACCCATCTACTCACTATAGACTCATGTTCGGGCTGCTGTTTAATATACTGTATTATTTTACATTATTAGTGTTTAGCATATATCTTAGGTCCTTATATATGGTTATATACTGTTACATACTATACTTATATATTGTTTCTTTTTATACTTTATATTTTGCTATTTTTGGGTGTAACTGGGACCTTGTGTACACAATTTCATTCCACCTCATGTACATGTGATGTGAATGACAATAAAGAACCTTAAACTTTGTACCTTGAACCTTGGATGGATAGTTGGATGGATGGATGGATGGATGGATGGATGAATGAATTAATACAATAGACCATATGTGTCAAACTCAAGGCCCGGGGGCCAAATGTGGCCCTCGCTGACATCTTATCTGGCCCCCAAAATTATATGTGAAACGTAAAATACTTCTATATCTTGAATTTCTTCAGTAATCTTTGATTATGATGTCAAAAGTGCAACAGAGAACATCAAATGAGACCAATCAAATTCTTGTTGAGGAACCTGTGACCAAGAAAAGATGCTGGGTATCTGATTTGAGTTAATGTAGATTCTGAAATTGGCCCTTAGTTTGAAAAAGGTTATAATTTTGACCCCCTTTTGTAAAAGAGTTTGATACCCCTGCAGTAGATGCATGGATTGATGGATGGCTCCATGGATGGCTCCATGGATGGCTCGTTGGTTGGATGGATGGATGGATGGAAACTCAAAAAATTATTTGTGATTTTATACTAAAAGACTAAATTCTGAGATGATTCAATATTTTCCACACGTCTTTCTCCAACCTGTGAACTCTTCCTCCTCCTTTCCCTCCTGTCTACAGGATGGCTGTCAGGCGACAGGATATTTTCTCTTTTAAAGACTCGGAGCTTCCCTGCCACCTGCTTGGCCAACTCAACATCCTGCGGCAAGAGCGTATCCTGACTGACGTCCTTCTCTGCACCGAGCACCAGGAGATCCCCTGCCACAGGAACGTCCTGGTGTCCAGCAGCCCGTACTTTCGTGCCATGTTCTGCAACAACTTCCTAGAGAGCAGTCAGGCTCGCGTGCATCTCAAGGGAATCTCCTCCAGTGTGCTCGCCGGCATTGTTGACTATGTTTACACAGGCAGCATCACCATCACCATGGAGATTGTGCTCCCGCTCATGCAGGCAGCATCCATGCTTCACTACGGAGGTCTCTTTGAGGCCTGCTCCATGTTCCTCCAGGAGCAGTTGAGTCCTGAGAACTGTCTGAGCATGATCCGACTCTCTGAGATCCTTCACTGTGAGAGTCTGAGGGACAGGGCGAAGGAGATGGCAGTCAGGTGTTTCTCTGATGTGGCTGCCACAGAGGATTTCTGTGAACTGTCTCTTCCAGAGCTCATGTGCTACCTGGAGGATGACCGTCTTTGTGCTGAAGAGGAGCAGGTGTTTGAGACCCTCCTGGCATGGATTCACCACGACCCATTTTCTCGACGCGGTGCCATCCATGATCTGTTCAAGAAAGTCCGTCTGCGCTACATCCATCCAACCTACCTCTTCCAGTTCATTGCCAACGACCCCTTGGTGCAGTCCTCCACCCTCTGCACTGAGATAATCGACTCGGTTCGTCGCCTCATGCTCACAGCCAGCACCAAGTGCAGCCGTGAACTGAAACCGCTCTGGACTACGCCAAGACGTTACACTTGCAGAGAAACACTGGTGGTAGTTGGAGGACGCAAGAACAATGAACAGACTTCACGAGAAGCTCTGCTGTATGACGAAAGGACTCATCGTTGGCAGTGGCTGGCCAAGCTCCCTCTGCGCCTGTACAAAGCTGCGTATGTGTGCATTCACAGCATCCTGTATGTCCTCGGGGGCCTCAGCCTCTGCATGGCTTCCGGCGACAGCTCAGTCAGTGCCACAGTTTACACACTATCCCTTAAAACCAACCAGTGGAGGACCGCTGAGCCCATGCTGGAACCACGATTTGCCCACCAAAGCGTTTCATATCTGCACTTCATCTTTGTTCTAGGAGGTATCGGGACTGATAAGCAAATCTCCCAGTCAGTAGAAAGGTACAACAGTATGTTTAATCAGTGGGAGGCCATGGCTCCAATGCCAACAGCTGTGCTTCATCCAGCTGTTGCAGCCAGTGATCAGAGGATCTACGTTTTTGGAGGGGAGGATGCCATGCAGAACCCAGTAAGACTCATTCAGGTAAAGACCATTTCCATGAGCAGGCAGGCAGTTCGATTCTCCAGATGTGTATGCTGGTTCATTGTCAAATGAATACGTTTACAAGTCGGATCTTAAACTGTTGATGTTTGTGTGGTGATGCAGGTGTATCACATTTCTCGCAACCTCTGGTCCAGACTGGAGACGAGAACAATAAAAAACGTTTGTGCTCCAGCTGCTGTCATAGAGGACAAGATCTACATTATAGGAGGTGAGCACTCTTTAAATTAAAATCATATAACCAAAGGATGTATGTTGTCTCAAGCAGTTACATTTATTATACAGATCGTAGGTTTTCTTAGCTTTCTCTTCTGTTCAACACACTGTTTTCTTTTTGTGAACAAAAGCCACACAAAAAGTTTGTAAGACTGCCCTAAACTTCCCATCTGTATTCATGGCTTCTTTAAAGTCTTGTTCGGCTTTTTTAAAATGTACTTTTTTTTCTGTTAAAAATTATTTTTGGGACTGATGAGCCATCCCAACCTTCTAACAGGCTGTGACCTTGTCAGTCACAATAAAAAATAACTACGGTTAAAATAACTACCGTATTTTCCGCTGTACAGGTCGATCTGCCCTATAAGTCACATCAGTTCAAATATGTCTAATAAAGTGGAAAAATCCATAAATACGTCACTTCGCCGTATATGTTGCATCCATTATGCGTCACCGCTGACAACCTGGACATGTGGGCCAGTGTTGTGCCAAAAACCGATTGTCTGCCAAAACGGCGTACGCGGGAGCGTGCACGGGAGAACTTTAACAAGAATTTAACAAGATTAACACTTTAAAACTATTATTTGTTTGCTCAAAATTATAGTAAATGTGTGTCTCAGTTGAACTTTTCCTTAATAAATGCACTTTGACTGACAAATCAGCTGCATTTTCAAAAGCCGATTCGCGGAAACAGGAACGCGCAGAGGGCGATTCGTTGTCCATTTCTTTGAAATTTAACAAGATAAGCGCCTAAAACAATTATTTGTTTGCTTTTATAGCAAAGGTGTGTCTCAGTTGAACATTTACTTAATAAATGCACTTCAATGGTCAAATCAGTTGCATTTCACTGGGGCGGCACAGCGAAATGAAACTGATTTGATGGTTGTTCCAGGCAAACTGGATTATGGTGGCTGTATGGCAAGCCAATTGTGTCATTAATAGCCATGTTTTACCTATTACATGACACAATGGCATGTCATACAACTCAAGTGCCATCTAGTGGCTGAAAATGATAGTGTTCAATATTTTCAGTCAGAATGAATGAAAACGGTCATATCTCAACCAAAAATTGGTTTATAAATATGGGGGAAAATCCATAAATACGTCACTTCAGCGTATAAGTCGCAGGGCATGCAGATTATGCAAAAAACTTATAGGCCGAAATATATGATAATCAAAAATAAACATATTTCTATTTTTTAATCAAGCAAATATTCCATTTGTTTACATGCTAGTGAGGGATTTAAAATTCATTTTGCAGCCAGACATTAGGGCGTGCTGCTCCTTAGTGGCTCAAACTTTGGGCTGCCTGTCCTGCCGCTAGTTACAATAACTTGATGACTTAACCTCCTTTTCTTTACACAGCAGCAGGAAAACAAACTGTGAATAGAAGAGCAATTTCTGCAGCCTATAATCTACATTTGCATTCAAGAAATCCAATTTTCCTTGACTTCATTCATGTGCTGGGTGCACACAGCTTGCTCTGGCTCTGAAAGGACATTATATTTTGTTTTCATTAAGAAAGTGCGGTGCAAGGAAAATCTAAATAACCCATTGAATTAACAATAAATGTCTGAATTCCAGGGTATACTCGACGAATGATCGCCTACGATACCAAAGCCAACAAATTTGTCAAGTGTGAGAACCTGAAGGAGCGAAGGATGCACCACAGTGCGACTGTGATCAACAACAAGCTTTACGTCACCGGTGGACGCATCCTCAACGGCCACGACGTCATCGAGGACTCCGACTGCTTCGAGTGCTACGACCCCAAAACGGACGTTTGGACTTCGAAAGGTTCTCTGCCGTACAAGCTGTTTGACCACGGCTCTCTGCCACTTGTTTGTGTTTCCAACAGGCCTAACCCGCCATGACCCATGGCTCAATCAAGCACTTTGGAGCCAAATCTTCAGGGTGTGTTCTTTACTTCTTATTTGGTACAACATGGTGGTCTCCACCTACATCTGTGGGAAACCATTTCAGGCTCTGTCTCACAGTGGGGTGTTTGGTCTAGTTGGCATTTGTTTGCATCAAACAGGAGCCTCTAGAGGTGTCAGTTCTTTGGAATCCGAGTCAGAACTGAAGCGAGAACGTCAGAAATAACAAGGAGTAGTTTTCAAAGCTCTTTGTGCTGCCCTCATTTGATGACAAGTGTTGAAGCTCTCATTTCATAGACATCTATACAGAGCATAGCACTTTGTATGGCAGCTCCAATTTTCTTTTTTCTTTATTTTTTGTGATAAAGATGAACATAAAGGGGCAGTAGAACTGATAGTGGCACATGTTAATTTGCACTTCATATAAGCAGGAGTAAATTATACATTCCTCGTGATTAGTGTGCACTCAGTGATGAGAAACGCTGTCACGGAACACAACTGAGCTCCTAAAGTGTAAATAGCGTGCCTGTCACGTGTCGTTTCTCATAAAATGCTGCAGAGAGTGACAGTTTTACTCGAACCGAACAAACCAGGCCAACGCTGTTCAGGTTTTAGGGATTTATCCGTGCATTTAAATCGCCCCTCCAAGAAACGAGCCTTGCTATGTGCAGATGTATTTGAATAAGATTCTTGCTGCATTCAGAAATTAAGTTAAAAAAAATAAATAAATAAAAACAAGGTACACTAAAAGACTTTCATGCCATTTCTTTTTAATCTTTCAAACATTTTATGATGAGAGATGATGGAGTTGGTTTGGCTTGTGCATGATGTTATGTGCAACACCATGTGTTAACCCTTATAGTGTGTGTTGAGGATGACTGTTAGCTGCGACACATCATATTATAGCTCATTATTTGTGAAACTGACTGAGTTATGGCTTATGTTTCAGCTAATGTGGATTAGCTGTGGTAGCTAACTTGCATTAGTTGAGCATGCATCAAGGCAACTTGCTTTAGTTCGTCTCCAAAATTTAATCAGTTGTAGATCTAATTACTTTCTAGGAGTATCATCCAGTGGGCCGTGAGATATTTGGCTAACACAGCGGAGAAATAAACACAATTCAAACGTTGCTGATGCATCATTGCACCTTCTGTGTGTTGATGTGAGGACGTGTTGCAGTGATGGAGGGATTTCAGCATCTTCATCTTGCAGCATTAGTTCACAACCATGACAGCCATCGTTTAATCCTGTTAGAGGAGTTATGGTTTGCATCCTCGTGTGGATTATGTGTAAATTGTTGTTCCGTATTTGAGACTCTCATTCATTCTTTCTTAAAAATGTTCCTTATAAAATATTAGACTGTTCGACTTGATTTATTTTTACACCTATTGAGTCATTTTCTCTTCGTGCAGTATTGTCATTCATGTTATATGACTGTCCAGTGGCACGTTTGCTCTCCACACCAGTGGGACTTCCGCTAACATGCATTATATTTAACTCGTGCGTGATGTTAGGGGGAATGTAGCGAATACGCTGCTTTGTGTTCCAACGTGACGGACGTGCAACCTCTTGACCTGGCTGCCTGCATGCTTTTTAAACAGAGTGTCTGGTATGAGGAGCCTTCGCATGCAGAGGCCAAATATCCAGTTACCGGAGGCCTCCCTGAGAGAGCTTGGATGGGAGTATTTCTGGAATCAGATTTCACTTTTAATCTGTGGCCATTAGTGTGGGACCTGAACTCAGAAAGTGTTGCATGGAGTTTCTGATGACATAAACAGAATGTTATCAGGCAGACATATTGACTGGTGTGTGTGATTCCTTTGCGTTGGATGTCACGTGCTGGGATGAGTCACCCAGAGCAGCGTTTCAGATGAGCATCGTTGAGCTGCTGCTTAACACACAGCCTGTTCGGGACATTTAATGACCGGGTGTTTGCCTTTCAACAGAAACCAGCGTGTGAGGGTCACCCTTCAGGGAAGCTGTGACCACGCAGGTTATTTTCAGTGTCTGTTACTACCTGACCTGAGGATGGATTTTCATTTGCCTGTTCTGTGTGTGGGGACCAGACATCATTTTTTTTAAATAGTATGAACATAAAAAAAAACGATATGCACTACTGTAACTTTTATTCTGTTCGTGTTTTTTTGTTGTTTTATTTGAACGAGCTGCAAGAAGATTATTTTCTTTGTGTTTGAAAGTGGATTCGGATACTTTTAAGTTATATCATCAGGTTGTAGCTTTATAAATACAACCCTAAGTGGTAAATGACAGAATGTGTGATTTACTAATTTTATAAACCATGTTTTTTTTTCTTCACAGCAGAATGTTTCAAATGCCTAAATTAATAAAAAGAAAAAGTTTAATTTTAATGGCTGCAATGCATCTCTAAAAAGTTGGGACAGGTCCATGTTTACTTCTGTGAAGCATTTGTCTCTTTGTTTACCAACAATCTGTAAACATCAAGGAACTGAGGAGACCAAGGATGGAGTTTTTGGAGGGGAACGTTGTCACACTCTTGTCTTCACGTTGGTCTTTGATGGATTTTTTTATTTTTTATTTTTTGCTTCACGATTTACCAAATGTTTTAATTGGTGAGATGTGTGGACTCTTCTACTAATAGATGCAGTTTTAGGGTTTATCATCATCCTGCTGTGAAACCTGCAAGATCTTTTTGCATATGTTGTTTTAAAACCTGCATATATTTATCTGCATTAGTTGTCCCTTTTTGATGTGTAAGCTGCCCATGCACCCTCATACCATCAGAGAGGTTTTGAACAGATAAATCAATTTTGATTCATCTGACCACAGAACAGTTTGACACTTTGCTTCAGTCCGTTTTAAATGAGCTTTGGCGCCAAGAATAGAGCAGCGGTTCTGAATAGTGTTTACATAATGTGTGGCTTCCTCTTTGCACGATAGAGCTTTAAACGGCATTTTATGGATGCCACAGTGAACTTTCCTTGCGGACAATGATTTGTGGAAGTGTTCCTGAGTCCATGCAGTGATGTCCACAACAAAGTCAGCCCTGTTTTTAACGCAGTGGCCCCCGTCAGTCTAAAGACCATGTGCATCCAATATTGACATTCAGTCATTTGAGAACAAATATTTCTCCAGATTCTTTAAAATGTTTAAATTTTAAATATTTTCTTGTTATTATGAACAGTAGATGATGAGATATCTTCCCACTTTTTTATTTGTTTAAAAAACATTTAATGTATTCTGAAACTGTTCCACTATTTTTAGATGCAGTTATTTGGTGAACCAGTGCTCTTATTGATCTGTTGCCAATGAACCCAGTTAAAATGTAAAATGCTGCTCCAGACGTTTCTTATTCGTATCACTCACTTATTAGTCTTCTGTTTCCCCAGTCACATCTTGTTAAAAATGTTTGCTGCCATTAAATTAAAAGTTACTATATTTTTCCTTAAAATTACTACTTTTTAGTTTATTCTGATTAAACAGTTGGTATGTCAGTTTACTTTGTTTATTGTGAAAAATGTATAGGTTTATGAGCTCTGCAAACTCTGGTGGAGTTATGTTTGCAGAACTATGTCCTCCTAACATAATTCAAAATCATCCTAATGAATTTGAGCTGTTTGACAATTTCTAAAACAGAAAAAAACATTTTTATAATTTTATAATAAATAATACAATAATGATGTTCTAAATATTCAAGGATTTTGTTTGGATGAATTCCACCTCAGAGTTTTGTCCAGTTTTTATGACGTGCAGCCGTTCAGTATTTGATTTTGTATTTTTTCCCCATCCTACATACATTTCTCAATATGCACGAAAACTTAAAGTGCTGTATGAATATGACAGAATACATATTGTCATAGAAAACAGGGCGTGACTGAAAACATTGAAACACATTATGCAGAACACTTTTATTCCTAACTTTATTAAAAATCCATTACTAATTAACCTGATTTTTACTGCGAGGCACATTCCAACAAACGTTTCTTCTTGCTTTACGAACCATACACGACTTTTGTTTTTCTCGGATTTGTTTTTTAGTTTAAATTTCTGGTAATAAACTTGTTTTAATATATTTTTCCAAGTAACAAAGCGTCTCATTTTCAAGGTTTTGTTGTTTGTGACCTTGATCAAATAGAAGGCACAAATCAAAAGCAAATTAAACCTTTTTTATTTGTTAATGAAATACTAATGTATGTTAAGTTCCCTTTAGGTCCAATTACAAATTGTTAACTTGTTTAATAAATGCATTATTTGTAACAAATGCCAGCGTGTATTTTTTTGAAGTGTTTGTCAGACTTCAGTAGATATTTTATAATGTTTAAATACAAACCAATCAAGAGAGGATGCATCAGTCCTGAATTCAGCACATGGTCCCAGAACTTTGTATTCGAGCCTCTGTCGCCCTCTACTGTCTGAAAACAGTTTTACACAAACAATAAATGCACAAGTTCAAAATGTATTTAAAGTATAAAAGGTATAATCAGTGTCAAAACATAACTTTATTAGAACTTTCTTAATAAAAAGATAGATCTCAGGTACAGCATGCGCACATTCTTTACAGAGATCTGGAATGGTGTTGTAGGAACACGGCGTCGTTATTTACAGGCTGGTTTTGTGTTCATTTGATGCTGCGGGACAGAGAAGCCATTTAAAAGGGTAAATGTGTTCTTAAAGCACAATAAAAGACTATTATACTCCTTAAACAGCTACATTCAACTCTGTGGGGAGTTTTAAACAATTTTTAACCTAACAGCAGCCATTAAAACACAATTTTCATGTATAAGGGACTAAAAAAATGGCACTGAAAAACAAATATTTTAATTATTGATATTATTATTTAAGACGAAAATCATACATAAACCAACAATTGGTCAAATTAAAGTGCTATTTGCATTTTGTAGGGGCATACTGTATGAACACTGAGGCATTCACGAACCATATATTAAATTTAATCTGATTCCATTCACAAAAAATACAAATAAACCCAAGCTTTCAATGAAAGTCAGTGTGGAGGCAGAAATCCTAAATGAGGTAAATTCTTCTTTGATTTAGTTTAAATTTATTCAATTTAATTAATTTATATTTGGGACAGTTAAGGATATACAGCATGTACAAACCCTTCATGTATGTTTCTGCTGCCCACTTTGGAGCACAGAGGGGCAAAAATACAATAGAATCTTACATATCCCAAAATATTTAGTGTATCACACATATGTACAGTACGTCTGTGACTCCAAAGGCATTTAGACAGTACAATTTGACAAGAGGCACAAAACTCAAAAAACATTTTGACTAAAATCAACCCCTGAAAAAATTTTAGACCATTTATACCCTCTCTACATGTAGTCTCAGTGATTGGAATTTTTTTTTTAAATGCATTTGATCTGAGATGTTGAAGACGTAACATTTGGCATAATTGTTGCTGGAAGGATCAGAGAGAGGGAGGGGACCCCCTGCAGACCTGACGAAAGACGCTACAGTGCATTTCTGTCAAAAGACAATCTGTTTATCTTCCTGAGTGCAAAAAGTAAGCAGGAACATCAATAGCTTACATTGATTGGATCTTTGCAATATTGACACGATACCACAGCCACATGAGGCTATCTCTGTCATTTATGTCAAACTTTTACTTCTATTTGGTTCACAAATGTGACCTCAGCAGCTTATTTTATTTAAAATACAACAAACCGTTGCTGCCTCCTACGAGAACGTTTCTGTTTTTTAGAGTTTTGACACGTTCGGTACAATAACAGCAACTTTACCTGAGAGGAGAACCTCTTAACACTTTTAACATCTTAAAACTGTGGGGGGATTTTCATTAAATGTCCAAAAACTGGAAGAGGCATGAACCAAAGTGCACGCGGGGGGGTCCTATATTCTACACCTCACTGATGGTGTGCTCCGAGGGCGTGAAGTTGATCGACCTGGACGATGACATGTAGAAGGACCGAGTCCTGCGGTTAATTCGCGCCCTCTTGGAGGCCACAGACAGGCTGCGTTTGCTTGAGGAGATGATCTCCGTGATGAACTTCTTGCAGTCCACACAGACCTCCATGGTGGCCCAGTCCTCCGTCAGCTCTTTGGGCAGCTCCAACTCATCCTGCCCATCTTTGCTGCTGTGCTTGGACAACCTGAAGACAAACCGATACGTTCAGAATCTGGTTAAACTACACATATCATTCCATTTTACTGAAACAACTTAACCGTATTAGAATTTCGGGACAGCCACCAACATGGTTCTGTAATTATCTTTCGAATAGGTCGCAGCAAGTCAAGGTTGACTCTCATACTTCACAGTTTCTTCTCGTTATGTCAGGTGTACCCCAAGGCTCTATTCTTGGTCAAACTCTTTTCTCCATATGTAAAAATGATATCTCACATTCAGTTAATGAGGCCTCCATTTCATTTATATGCTGATGACACTATTTTATGCACGTTTGATTGTACTCCGGATGAGGTTGTCAAGTCCCTGGCATGTCCATGGTACCCTAGAAGCACCCTGCAGATGTTGGACACTGTTTATCATGGTGCGCTACGATTCATAACTGGCTGTACCGTACCCACCACTGCACCCTGTATTCACTGGTTAAATGGACATCATTAACTTAACATAGACTCTCTCATTAGTATATTTTCATCTTTAAATCACTTCTTGGTCTGCTGCCTTCATACATTTCCTCCTACATGTCACTGAGTGCAGCTACAGCGTGCGCTCTCAGGACAGTGTTCCCTCAGTGCGGACTGAACTAGGCAAAAGGGCCTTCTCCTACTCCGCTCCTGTTTCCTGGAATATCTTGCAAAAAGATCTGAAGCTCTCGACCTTCACCTTTCTAAGTGTTTTCAAATATCTGCTAAGTTCATGGCAAAAACCAATGCAGACATGATCCTGTTTTTAGTTTTCTACACCGCCTTATAATCTAGCCGTTTTTGTTTTTTTTAATACTATTTCCTTTCATTTATTCTTCTCAATTTACAAGCTTTCTTTTATGATTGTCTACCGTTGTCATCATTCATTGTTAAAATCAGGTCTCTCTTGTAAATGAGTCCTTGAGACTCAATGGGACTAACCTGCATAAATAAAGGCTGAATGAATGTGGTTTTCTTGAAATCCAGCAGGTCTTTTCTGATCTAAATGTGTCCCTGAAAGTCAAGAAAACTAAAATGACATGGTTCGGTCATTGAGGAACCATACCCACCTCGGTAGACTTCTCCATTGTATTATAGAAGAGGTACAGTCTATAAATATTTAGGAATTTGGATTGATGGTGCTCTGGGCTTCTCACATCATGTTAATGGTTTTGCAATCTAAGCTTAAAGCGAGACTTGGTTCTCTACATAGAAATCGATTTTCATTTACATTAGCTGCAAAACGCAGCATTGTTGAAAAAAACATTCTACTTCTGTTGGGATTATGGAGACATAATTTACAGACATGCTTGTCATGGTGTTCTTTGTAAACTGGACACAATTTATAACTCTGCTATTCGCTTTGTTACAAATGCTCCTTATAGAACACATTATTGTCACCCCTGCTCTCTTGTTAAATGGCCTTCTCTACGTGCTCGTTGTGAAATTCATTGGTTTACCCTCATTTATAAGACGTTGCTGGGTAATTCACCTCCATATTTAACTAATCTACTGCAACTAGCACCGGTTTCAAAGTATAACACCCAATCCTCTCAATATCTGTGGTTAACAACTCTAAAGACCAAGTCTGGCTTTGGCTCTGTGGCCTTTGCCTCTGTTGCTCCCTCTGACTGGAACCTGCTTCAAAAAAACTTTGGAAATTATTGTGATAAACAATAATATTGTTGGAAATTCGACAATAATCAGTAATTATTGTCAAATTTAAAAAATGTTTAATTTGTTTTGCATGTAGTACCTTTTTTCGGCCACTGGATGGCAGTACAAGCCTGTTTGAACCAAAGGATGGATAGTGAGGGAGGAGCAGAGTGTCTCTAAGAAAAATGGGAGGGAGGCCCCTTGGCGTGACATGGGCCGTCTTTCTTTGGTTCTCAAAATGGCGGACGATCAGTGTGGTTTGAGCTCTTTAGCATAGCATTTTTCACACAAAGCTTTTAATTAAAAAAAATCAGTAAACAAGTTCTCGACACGACACGAAGAAATGATAAAGCCGATAAATGAAAATGAGGTTGATAATTTTCATTTATCTTGCGATTAATTAACTTATTTATCGCGACAGGCCTAATTCCTTGTTTGTTATTGGCTACTGTATTTTATTGTTTTGCCTAACTGTATTGTTTCCCCTTGACCCTACAAGTATCTGTTGGTGCTTGCCAGGCCAGCACTGTAAATAAGCATTTGTTCTTAGTTTTTATGCCTGGTTAGATAAAGGTGAAATGAAAAAAAGAGACTTTCACATCAAATTTGCACAGTATGTTAAGTAATTCTGCAATAACCTTCGGCGTAGACTGTGCCTGCTGTGTCCAGAACCAGAAGGATGTTTCTCCGACTCAGCTGGAGCAGAAGTTACATCTGAATTCTCTTTATTTGTGGTACCAGGGCCCAGAGAGTAGATTGGCAAAGTGGAATAGGGCTTAGACGGGAGACGCATCTGGAGTTTAAAAAGAAGAAGAATGAGAATTTAAGCTGGATATTCAGTTTCTGAAGCTCCTGATGAACGTTACAGAAGAGAGTGAAATACTCCTACCTTTTTGGAGCACTGGGCGCACACCGGCCTGAAAAAATGAAAGGCAACCTTAAATTTAAATAACTGAAAAGATGAAATACTGAATTAAAGGAATCATAAACAAACATAGTACTTTATTTTCATTTAAAACCAAAAATATTGATAAAGAAGACAAAAAAACTTTGGCATATTTTGTACATTTTATCTCAACATCCTTAAAATAAAAAAATTAAAAAACATGGCGGACAGTGATGCTGATTTAACCCTAAAGAGAGAGATTTTTGGTTCTGTAAAAAGATTGTGAACAATTAATATCTTACCTGTTGTATATAGCTCTTTGAACCACCTCACTTTAGAGAAACTGTTCATTTCTGACCAGACCGACAAGCTAGATTAGATACAACTTTGCTGATCCCTTGGGAAGATTCCTTCAGGGAAATTAAAAAGCTAATGGCTAGTGTGGGGGGTGTTAAGACCAAAGTGGATCACAGCGTTCTTGAAACAACTCCAATCTCAGACGTTTCATACAAACACTGTAGTATAAACCTTTACAGAGCCATCAGTTCTGCATTACGTGGTCATTTACCGTAATTCCTGGTGTATAAGTCGCTATTTTTTCTCACACTTTGTACCCAACATTTAATATGCAGGAGCAGCAAAAATTTTGTTTTAATAATTTTCATAATTTATATTTTATTTTGAAAGATTTCCTGTGGCCTCTCAGCAGCTTCCTGCCGCTGACTAACATTTTCCTTTGACCGAGCTAGGCTGCTGCTCGTGGAGCTGCCGTGCACCCACTCCTCTTAGGGGCGGGCTTTTTTTTATACAAAGAGTGAACGCCCTCAGGTAATCACATGTACCAAACCTCTTGCTCAGGGTTTCAAATTCCCTACCATAACTCCACCCACTCTGTCATCATGTGACCAGAAGTCTTTTGGGGAATGATGCGGACAGCACGAGGGAAAGCGACACGGATGCAGTGCGTGATCACGTTTTTCTGAGACTCGAAGAGGGTTTTAATTCTCAGGAGAACGAAGAACATAGTGAAAAGTGACTTTTGGTCAACTACCGGTACTTTTTTTTAAAAAGCCGTGTTAAAGGCTGATCCCCCTCCCCTGGGTCACGACATGGACTCCACTGAGAAGAAGTCGTATAAAACAGTTAAGTCTGGTACTTATTTTAATAAAAAAATTTAAACTTATTCCTGTGTGACATCTTTCTGTGTGCGATAAATATGCGTTTAAATGCCGGGATCTCATTTAAACTCACATCCCAACAAAGACCGAGGGTGTGTGGGGGGTGCATTCCCCCTCCTCTTCCATCATGGGAGCTCAGCAGAGAAGAAGTCAAGTCAGATTTATTTTTAAAGCAGTCAGTCAAAACTGGTACATATTTAAACAAAAGTATTAAAAAACATCTGTGCACGGTAAACGTGTTTAAATACCAGCACGGAGCGACACAACGGGAGGGAGGAAGGGGGAACAGCCCCTCCCTCCCGTTGTCTCCTCCGCTCCACATACGAGCTGTGCTGAGGAGAAATCACGTCAAATTTATTTAGAAAGTACATTTAAAAACAGCAGCTGTTACCGAAAGTGTTTAACAATAAAAATCAATGGTACTAATTTAATGAATGCTTACGGTATTTTACCGGTACTATTTGCCTTCCGGTCACATGACCTCAATAAGAACTCTGGGTAACATTGACTGGTATATCATTTTTAAATAATTTCACTTACATAGATATTTGGCACTGTTCTGTCCAGTGATTATGGCTTAGATAGTTATTGTGTTCATTTTGGAGGTTTAATGCTTTTAACCATGATTCAGACAGCAAAGCAGCATGAAGACTTCTGACGATTTCATTTTAAAGTTATAAAAAGTTTAAAAATTAAAATAAAAAAAAATAAAAAAACTACTGCTAGTCGACTAAAAAGTCACTCTTCGTGAGGTCTGAACGTGTATTGAAAGCGAGCTATATTCTATGAATCGCCATCTGGTGGCTGATTCTTGTAGTACAAGAAAATTGCAGATCATGTCGGAGCTGGCTGGGCACAGATCCTGACGATGAGCGGTGGATGCCTGGGGCTGAGCAACCGGAGCGTCTTATTTATGCACAAAATTGTGATTTACCTTATATTTAGTATGAGCAGCTTAGAGACAGGTGCGTTCTGTAGCCCCGAGAATTACGGTAATTAGAACTTTATGCTCATTTACAAGTGGAGATAAGTGACAGAAGCAGCTAGCTGTAGCACTTCTGGTGCAACTACTGCAGGTTCTTCATACATTTTCCCCCTAGAACGACGATGTAATGAAAGAAGTTACAACAATTGAAAATAAAATGTGCATGATGTGATGTGCTATGAAATTGTTTTAGGACAACAGCAACCACTTTGGTCTGCTTGGACCAGCTGCTAGCTCATCCACCCATTCAGTAGTAAATTATTTCTCCAATTTGTCGTCAATGTTGTAAAAGCTATCTACCACAGGTAAGATGTTAACTGCTCTGAACATTTCCACAGAATCACCTTTGTAAAGATCTGAACCATTCTTTTAATTCAGACTTAAAGAAAATAGTCAAATGTCTGTTTTTCTAGATGACTTCAACAGAACGCACAATTTTAAACAACAGGGTGATTTTGTTCTGTCTGCAGGACACAATTACAAAAATTATGTGTTCTGGGCAAATATATATATATATATATAAATATATAAATATATATATATATATTTATTTATTTTATTTTTTTTTTTCCCCACAAGTTTGCACAAAGATCCTGTAGTTTCATTGTTCAATTTTCAAGGGAACACATTTCCTCCCACTGCTGAAGTTGATAACCTAAACCAATGTACTCTTTGCTGCATTCCCTCTGAACTCATCCCATATCTAAAATTTGTTGTTGTCTGAGTTGTTGATTTCCTGTTTAAGTTCTTTATTTCAGGTAAGAGCGCCTCAGTTTACCTTTTGCAGAACTGGCAGATGTAGGACCAGGTGAAGAGGGAGAACTTTTTGGTTCGACATGAAAAGCAAATCTTTAGAAAAAAAAAATAAGATGAGGTCAGAAATGTCATCATCTGATGCTTTTGAATAACCTCTACCCAAGCTCTACCTTTCCTTTCTTGAGAGCGTTGTAGACATCTTTGTATTGCTGAAACTTCTCCAGCTCAGCCTTGACGAGAACCTGCCTGATGTGCATCACCTCCTCCACTGTCAGAGCCAAACACTCCACTGGATAAGAAAACTCCTCCTGTAGGAAGCACGTCACATCAGTGGACTATCGTTACAGGAAAACTAGCACAACATCCAGGAACGTGCAGCTGCAAGAAGTGATGGCAACTCCTGACAGTGAGACAAACACCAGGCGAATGGAAACAAGACAAACACAATAAAATGGTGACGGTCACGAAGCTTTCACTCGCAGAGTAACAATGAGAAGAAATGCAGAACCTCCATGTTTTCTTTTTAGCTATATGAAACAAGTTAACACAATTTCCATATCTGATCAGCTGCAGCTGTGAATTTTTACAGAACATTTCTCCTCCCTTCATTGCTGTCACTCCACAAACTGAGCATTCACTCAGACAAACGTGACACAATGTCCCATTCATGTAAAACTAACTAAGTGAGTTACGCAGGGCTCAGTGTGGTTTGCCAGCACAGTTTAAAGTAAAACATACCGTGCCCTGACCACTGCAGGCTGCTTCCACCTGACCAGCACAAAGACAGAACAGGACATTCAATCTGAAGCATAGCCTCCAACGAGCTAATCATATGCAGCACGTCTGAGAAAACTCAACACAAGGCCTCCAACCGCTAAAGGGTCAGTTCAGAATCTGTTATGTAATCGTTCACAGCTAACTCTGTTAAGGAGACACACCGGTAATAAAACAAACTAACAATTGTTTGGGACCTTCCTGTTAGGGAGCCAACTTTATATATAATAAAATTACTTATTTTATTTGACATGGAGCGTGAAATTTAATTTCATAACAAGCAAAACATAAAAGTGGTCTCATGATCAAGTCACTTGATATCATCCATCCTAAATGGAAGAGTTGACTGAAATGTCAGACTCCATCTGACAAATGCATTATTGTAGCTCCATCACACCATCAGGGGGTCACAGCTGCTGCTTTCTGGAGCTGGAAAACAAACGTCTTACCGCCCACACGTCCCTGCAGGGTCCAAAATACTGTCTGCTAAAACCCCTCCCCAACTGTCTGCCCTTGTTTGACTAACAGTGTGAATGTTTATGAAGCATTCGCGCTAGTGTGATTCTTTTTCTTCTGTACGTTTTTCGGAGCAAATCTCGTCACGCAGTTTTCAAGCTATTGCAACAAATCATAGATCAAAACGTTCAGCTCTTTCAGGACAATCCTGTTATGACTTTTGGTATTGGTACAACTTTAGCTTTTTGAAATATTTAGACTTTTCTGCTATTTTTTCCTCATAGAAAATGAATTGAACTCATTTTACATCCTTCAAATCTTTAGACCTGTTTACAGCCTTTTACTGCTCCTTTCACATTTTGTCCCGGTTCAGTTTCTTTCAGCTTCCATGTGTAAATTTAAACCTTTTTTTTCAGCTATTTTCAGCTAATATCAGTTGTTTTTTACCAGCTGTTTTGTGCTCCTTTCAAATTATTTCTAACTACAATCTTTTTGTGCTTCTTCTAACTTCTTTCTGCTAATTTCAGCTTGTTATGCTCCTTTCAGCTTATTTCTGTAAGTTTCAGCTTTTTCTACTACTTCATTTACTATATAGCTATTTTTATGCTGATTTAAGCTTTTGCAGCTAATTACAGTTACACATTTTTTACACTCAATTAAACTTTTTCAGCCTAATTAAGCAACAATGTGCTCTTTCCACTTCCTTCTTGTAATTGTGGCTTCTTTCTGCTATTTTAGCTACTTTTCAGCAGGGTTTTTTTGTTGTTGTTGCTCATTTCAGCTTTTTTCAGATCATTTCCTCTTTTTTGTGCTCATTTCTGATTCTTTAAGCCTAATTGGGCAAATGTGCTCTCTCCACTTCCTTCTGCTAACTTAAGCTTGTTCTACATTTTCAGCTACTTTTTTAGCATGCTTTAGCTACTTTCAGCTTTTTTCAGATTAATTTGTTTTGCATGTTAATTTCTGCAGCTTTCAGTCCAATTAACTTCTTCCTCCATTCAGCGTAATTATGCTAGTTGAAGCTATTTCTGCTATTTCAGCTACTTTTTAGCTGTTTTATGCTCATTTTAGCATTTTCAGCTAATTCTACATTTTTCAGCTCATTTCAGTTCTTTCCACTTCCTTCTGGTATTTTAAGTTTCTGACTTTCATCTATTTTTCAGCTTTTTTGGGTGCTGATTTCAGCATTTTTTTTAGCTGACTTTCTAATTTTTGGTGCTCATTTCTGCTCCTTTAAACCTAATTCAGCAAATATGTGTTCTTTCTGCTTTCTTCTGCTAATTTAGGCTTGTTCTTCTATTTCAGCATGTTTTTTAAGCTAATTTCAGCCGTTTCTCAGCAAGTTCTTCTGCAATAAGCATTCACACTGCATTTTCACAGGAAATTAAATTCCTCTAGTTTCATTATGTTAAAATAATACAATGAAATGAAATGTAAAAAATAGGGTGATGATGATTAAATGAGATTACATCAACTGAGTTACCTTGCCACTGGGATTTTCAGTTTGCTGCAGAATGATTAAAAAAAGGATAAAACTGTAAGTAAGTTTATTAAACATGTTGGAGAAGCAGTTAACGTGTTCATGTGGACAGAAAAAAATGTGAAGTGACAAAAATCTTACTGATGACCTCTTCAATTTCACATAAAACTGAAGTAATCTTTGAATAAATTGTTCATTTTATGTGTAACTACAAAGCACTAAAGAAACAAGCAGCGGTTGTCACAGATTTTAAGCAAGCCATCCTTGCAAAGGTATCCCTAAAAAAAGAGACATTTAATTAGAGCTTTAAGGTGTATTTCAACTGCGCTGACAATTTTTATTTAATAGATAAAACAGACTTTGGTTTATCAAACAAAAACCAAAGCTTTCATCCACAGCACTCAGTGCAGCTGTCCTGTGGCTTCAATTACATCCACTTCACAGCAATTACATGACCGGTCACAAGACAAGAGGAAAAAAATGATATTTTCTACATCCACAGTTAATTTAACTACACTGACAAACTCTATTTTTAATAGCAATTATGGGTCTGAATGGAAATAGTAGAGAAACTGAGAAAATGTGTAAAAAAACATTTTTTTTAAAGACTCAACCTTTTAGGAAATTTTATTGTATTATTTTTAAATAAGTAATTATTTTATGTCAGTAAACCTAAATATTGTGGATACTGTTATTAAAATTGAACTTAATTTTGCTGAAGTGTGCCAGCTTTGGTTTAAAGTCTCTGCTAAAATCAAATTTGAAACAAATGTTTAAAACAAAAACTTTTTTTTTCCTGTTGTGTTTATTTATTTGCATGTTACAACAGTGACTTTTTTGTCCTTGTTTGTTAGAATAATAAAATATCAATTACGGTAAGTTTATTAAATTATTAAATATTAAAACAGTTTAATAGCTTTTTATGACATCAATCATACATTTTGTATATAATTTTCGTCTTTTACGTGCAGCGTTTGATTCAACTTTAAGTCCTGCTTAAGTGCTGGGTCAGTGCAGTAATGACGTCTGTTAATTATAACTAATTATGTGGTTTCTTGTTATTTTTAAACAGCTGTTATGGTACAAATCTACCATTAGATCATCCAGGCATTTATAGTCAGTTTAAAATAAATACTTTCCAAAGTTTACTCACCAAAGACTGGGTGCTTTGTCTCGATAGTGGCAATGAAGGGCGAACGCTGGAGGAGGTCGCCCTCTCAGAGTGCCGCCGCTGCAGAGGCTGATGCTTCTCAGGCTGGAGGGTGGCGGACAGGGGCAGAAGCTTTTGAGGAGCTGGAGATGTAAAAAAAAAAGAAAAAAAAGTTGTATATTAAAGACAGAGATAAAAACTGGTGAATAAGTATTTTATTTCTGTGTGAAAAGAAGAGAATATTTTATTACATGTTGGAGGGTAATTCATACCTTTCTTCCCTACGATAGACTCGGGAGATGTTTTCGATTTTAAAGAAGTGGACTTAATGGAGCTGGGCGGTGTGGGCTCCTCCTATCAACCAGGATAAACAACATATTAAGAAACGTGACAAGTAGCTTAATACAGCTTTAAATGTCAAATAGCCCCTAAAAACGTTGTCAGTTTCCTCTATAAATATGAACGCGTTACTAACACGCTGGGAGTGAGGTTCTGCCTCAAGTGGAGGAGTTAAGTATCTCTGGGTTTTGTTCACGAGTGAGGGAAGAATGGAGCAAGAGATCAACACACGGATCGAAGCAGCTTCTGCAGTATTGAGGACTTTGTGCTGGTCCATTGTGGTGAAGACAGCTGTAAGTTCGCAGTTCACTGGTCGATCTACGTTCCTACCCTCACCTATGGTCACAATCTTTGGGTAGTGACTGAAGGATTGAGACTGTAGATTTAAGAGGTCAGTGTGACCGAACCTTAGAAGATAGGACGATAAGTTCAGTTAACAGAGAGGAACCGGACTAGAGTCTGTCGGGAATTTTGGTTAAGGTTTATGGATGTTTATCACTAGCTAATGTTAAACTAATAAGTGTGAGTTAGAGAGGTGTTTTCTCTGCTCAGAGAGGAGCCTGCAGGCGCACGGAGGTTCGTCTGATAAACTCCGAGGCCTTCTCCGAGTCTGTAAGCTGGAAAGCCGAGGTCGTCTCGACTGATAAGCGTGTATTATAAAGCACTTCCTGCCTCACTGTCCGGCGCAGATTCTCACTGACGAGGCTCATGTAACTTTGTACATCTGTGAAAGCCTTTTCGTGACCAACTACCCTTGCAAGTAAAGACTGGTTAAAATCTTCTTGTTTCCTCAGAGTGGCTTATTTGAGTAAGCAGATGATGAAGGATATTTATTTTATCCAACAGAGTCACTGCTCCTCCACATTGAGAGGAACCAGTTGAGGTGGTTTAGGCATCTGGGAAAGGTGCCCCCTGGAATCTTCCCTGTGTTTTGGTCATGTCCAACTGGGAGAAAACACTGGGAATACTCAGACTATGTCCCTCGGCTGACTTGGGAACGTCTTGGAATCCGCCCAGAAGAGCTGGAAGAGGTGGCTCTGAAAGGAGATGGGCCTCCCAGATCAGGCTGTTGGCCCTGTGACCCGACTCCAGAACATGTGAAAATTACCGTATGTTTTTGGCTATAAAGCGCACTGAAAATCCTTTAATTTTCTCAAAAATTGACAGTGAGCCTTATAATCAGGTGCGCCTTATGTATAGGCCTGTCACAATAAATAATAAATCAATTCATCGCATGATAAATGAAAATTATCAACCTCGTTTTCATTATTAGCTTCATTGTTTCTTCATATTTCTCTCTTTCTACTGAAGACACTGGATGACAAAAAGCTCAACTCTGGTGTTCTTCACTGACCCTTCTCTTTCTCTTTAAAATCCATTTTAACCGTCCAAAACCGCATTTTTGAATCGTTAAAAGCACAGACATAAATAATATCTATGGTTAAATGCAGCTAAGTTGAGAAGCTAAGCTATGAGCTAAGCTAACAGACTGACTTTGGGGGAAAAAACTCCATATTGTCGAAGCTCCAAAATTCACAGTTGAAACCCGTGCCTTCGTCTAAAAAGTTGTTTTTCTCTACAAAAAGAAGCTGAGAACTTGTTTACTGATTTTTTTTATTAAAAACTTTGTGTGAAAAATGCTATGCTAAAGAGCTCAAACCACACTGAGTGTCCGCCATTTTGAGAATGGAAGAGAGCCAACCCATGTCACGTCAAGGGGCCTCCCTCCCATTTTCTTAAAGAGACACGCTGCTCACTCCCTTGCTATCCATCCTTCGGTTCAAACAATCTTATACTGCCAGTGGTCAAAAAAAGGTACTACACACAAAACAAATTAACAAACAGTTCTTCTTAACTTTGACAATAATTACTAATTATTGTCGAATTTCAAACAATATTATCCTTTATCGCAATAATCTCTGAGACAATTAATCGCCCAGTAAAATTTGTTATCGTGACAGGCCTACTTATGTATTAATTCTGGTTGTGCTTACTGACCTCGAACCGATTTTATGTGATTATTGTGAATGAGTTGAATAAATTTTGACTTATCTGACTGTTTTGTTTTGCTTAATGCGCCTTATAATACGAAAAATACAGCAGTTGATGGATTGATGGACGGATGGATGGACGGACAGACAGATTTTAACAAGGTGTTTACGTTTGAGCTCATTTTATTTTCTAGCGAGCAAATAAATTCCAGAGCAGTTACGAAGGACTCAGACAACTTACATCGGACCCGGAGCTGTCCAGCTCGGCCAGCGTGGGTGCTTTGAGCAGCCTCTTCCTCTGGCTCAGCGGCTGCGCTCTGTGAGGTGTTTCTACGGGACCGCTGGCCAGAGACTGGGTGCTGCCAACAAACTTCCTCTGTCCATCAGGGGAGTCTGTGGGTCAAAACTGAATCAATCAGCTGAGGGGTAACTTCAAGCACCACAGATTAAAACAAACCCCGAACACACGTTTATGTTACAGATTTGCTTCACTGCTATGTTAATGAATGCAATCAGTTACAGCGAGACACTGATTGATTCGTACTTTACCTGAACCACGGAACAAGTCCTGAGGGGTGCTGATGCTCTTCCCTGCTCCTGAAGACAAATTAAGAGAAAATACCTTCAACTGGAGCAAGCAGAGAATATTAACTCCTAATGTTAGACTAAAGAGCTGCCGAGAGGGTTTAACATCAGGAAGCATCTGTAGCACCCGTTGTAGTGCTCTATAGTCAAACATAAAGAAGTTGTGTGTAGCTGGAAGCACAGAGGGAGAGGTATGTGAAGGAGAGTGCCATAGAAGTAGAAAAACACAATGAGTGCAGCCACAGCGCAAAACATTTTCATAATTATCTTCCAAAGGTTAAAGCTGCATTCAAACAATCAGCCATTGAGCTGTACGTGAGGTAGATTATCAACATTACGTAATTTCTCAAACTCATAGGGCGGATTAGACTGAGGGGTGAATTGTAATCTCATATTGTGAATCCCTCTCAGTGGTTAAAAACTGCTTTAACCAACAAAAACTGAGAAAATCTACAGCAAAATGTCAAACATGAGATTAGGCTGCGCTGTGTTGACCCATGTTGTTCTCCGGCTCTTATACGTGTTTTTATCACGACCTCTGTGTGACAGCAGTGCGCCTTACACAACCATACAAGACAACACGGGGCAGAATGATCAACTCAGGGAGAAGCAGGAGCCAACTCTCTAAATGAGCGGCTTTAATGAGAACACAGCAGGTGTCGTGAAATTTACCTGATGAGTCAAAGCTGCAAGACATGCTAAGTCGCATGACTGACAGAAATGGGCAAGTTAGGAGAGAAAAAAAAGAAAATGAAAGCAAATGGAGGAAAACGTTATAATGAATGATGAGAATTAATTATTAGTAGAACAAACTATAACAACTGGGTTCTGTAATTGATATCAGCTTCCTGAATCTGTTTTAGACCAGTGGTTCTCAAACTAGGGTCTACAGGGGTCCGCAAGCCTGTGTTTGGGGGTCAGCAAAAAAAAAATATATATATTTTTTTGTTTGTTTGTTTGTTTTTACAAACACGTAGATGTTTAACAACTCGTTAAAATACACCACATTGCAGGAAATCACATCTACTTTATTCAAAATTTTCTGTGGGAGGACCCCCAGACCCCACCACCCTCTATTTGCGTTCCGGCATTGATCGGTTTACAGATTAACTCCTGTTACTTGGTATGACTACTCTTATGATTCTGTTCAGTTTTAAGTAACGAGTTTTCTGTAATAATTTGAAGAAGTGACAACACATTTATTATGTTCATTGTGTGAATAGGTAAAGCTTTAAAGTGGTTTTTGATGCTGTTCATTTTCTCAAAACTGTCATTTTTGGCAGTTGAAATTAAAAATGTTAATTAATTGTGTCTTGAATGAAAAATACACCATGTTTAAAAGTATAAACGTTGTATTAACACTTTTAAAGAACAGGTCTTAAGTATTTATGTTACACAAATATTTCCAGTGCATTAAAGAGACAAATTGAAGAAAATGATTTAATTAACATGAGGGTTATGAGGGGGTCCCTGAACCCAAAAAGTTTGAGAACCCTTGTTTTAGACAACCGTGCAATCAAAAATTTAAAAATAATTAAGTTTTAATTGAACTTTTACGGAACTGATAAGTGATGACTCCATGCTAAACTGATTTTCTAACCAGCTTCAAAAGCGGATACTTGCTAAGCAAGATGGTCAAGTTATTTTTAACAGGACATTTGTCAATCTAAGCTACTTTAATACCAGCAGTCTCTGAAATGACTAAACAAAACCCCTGCAGTCAAAAGGATTCTTGTTTGTACACCGCAACACTTATCAATAGGCAAACAGATAAAAGCTGTTGAGAGTAATAATGATGAATGTGTTTAGGGAGGGTTATTGGTTTTTGCCCAGAGTAAACAGGTTAGGCTCATACAGAGCAGCCATGCTGCAGGTTAACAGCTGTTTTCACCTAGACGGAGTGTTCTTTATGATTATTTGTCCGGCCGTAAAAATAATTTCTGTGATCACGAGTCTCACCTAGGCGGTGCCTGCGGTTCTTGCTCAAAGTGGGTGAAACTGGTCGAAGCTTCCTCTCTGCCTTGATGTCCTCGAGCAGTCGCTCGTGGAGGCTTCGAGGACGTGGAGGGTGGGGTTTCAGTTTACGGGCTGACACCTGTCGCAGCAACAGTAAAGATGAGCTCATAGTGGAGGCGAACATCAAACCCTTGTTACGGCATCAAGCCATCCAACTATTCTGCCACAGTGACAATTAATGTTTCATTATGTTCTTTATTATTCATACCCAGTCATCTCCTGTTTACAGTTCATGCCAAAGTGCTTGTAAATCAATCAAATATTGATGTTGGCGGCTGCTCTCAGCTGTAAATATAAATGTTTTTCTTTTTCTAAATGCTCCCTAGGGGACATGTTGCTCTAATGGAGTTTAAATGTCGGTTGTATTTAGGATAAAAAAGCAGCACCAGAGATGTGTGACGCTGTGTTACTTACAGGGTTTAGAGGAGGTCGTGATCGGATAAATTCAAGGATGATCTCATGTGCACTCTTCTTTAATCGTGGAGGAATGTCTCCATTCACCTGGAGAGCAATTCATATTTTAATTGACCAAAACACTTGAAGACCTTTCCCAGACACTTAAAAACAAGAGTAACCAGAGAAATTGCATTTCCTGTGAAAATGCAGTCTGAATGCTTATTGCAAAAGAAATAGCTGAAAAACAGCTGAAATTAGCTAAAAACATGCTGAAATGTAGCTGAAACAGAAGAACAAGTCTAACTTAGCAGAATAAAACAGAAAGAACTCATATTTGCTGAAACTGAATTAGGTTTAAATAAGCAGAAATGAGCACGAAAAATAGAAAATTATGTAAAAAAGCGTAAATTAACTAAAAATAGCTGAAAAGTAGCTGAAAGGGCAGAAAAAACTTAAACTATCAGAAGGAAATGAAAGGAGCTGAAATGAGCTAAAATTGTGGAATTAGCTAAAAAAGCTAAATTTAGCACAAAAAATAGCTAAATAGTAGCTGAAATATTAGAAAAAGCTGAAAGTAACAGAAAAAGGCTGAAAGAAGCATAACAAGCTGAAATTAGCATAAAAAAGTTAATTAGGCTGAAAGTAACAGAAATTACCATGAAAAACTCAAATTTATCTGAAAACAGCTGACATTAAAAAACTGCTGAAAAGTACAATAGCTAAAAAAGCAGAAAGAAGCTGAAATGACCAAAGTAAGTGCACAGTGCATGTTTTTGCTGAATTAGGCTGAAAAAAGTTTAATGAATGCAAAAAATATGGAATTAACTGAAAAGGCTAAAATTAGTATAAAAACAGCTAAATAGTAGCTGAAATACTGGTAGTAGAAAAAGCTGAAACATGTAGAAAAAGCTGAAAGGAGTATAACAAGCTGAAATTAACAGAATAAAGTTAAAAGAAGCACAAAAATATAGTTAGCAGAAATAATCTGAAAGGAGCACAAAACAGCTGAAAAAAAACATCTGAAATTAGCTGAAAAAAATGTTTGAATGTACACAAGGAAGCTGAAAGAAGCTGAAGCAGAACAAATTGTGAAAGGAGCAGTAAAAGGTTGTAAACAGATCTAAAGATATGAAGGATGTAAAATGAGCTCAATTAATTTTCTATGAGAAAAAAAGTCTAAAACGGCTAAATATTTCAAAAAGCTAAAGTTGCACCAATATCAAAAGTCATGGCAGGATTGTCCTGAAAGAGAAGAGCATTTTGATCTATGATTTGTTGAAACAACACAAAAATTGTGGAACGAGAAAAACGCCGAAAAATGGATCTCAATAGTGTGAATGCTTTGTAAACATTCACACTATTATTTGAACCAAAAATTCCCCTTTTAGTGCTCGCACTTGTGACCTCACCATGACTTTTCGCAGCTTGTAACGCTTGGAGCGGATGTCATCCATCAACATTTCATACGGTGTGAGCTGGTATTCTATGGGCAGCGGGTTGTACTGACGCTCCTGTACTTTCTTTAACTTCACACCATTTCGTAGATCTCGCATCACCTGCACCCAGAAACGTGCCTGTAGGGATGATATCCAAGAAATAGCTATTGATGCGTTGTAAAAATACGCACACAGCAGGCATGTATCTGAAACATGGTCATGAGTTAAATCTAGTGGATGTTACTCTCACCCAGTCAGCATTTTCCAGTTCATTGAGGTCTTTAACAGGCTCTTCTTGGGTCTCACCTTCCATCCTGCGAAGGTTCTAGTAAATAGAAATGAAAGAAAAACATGAAGAACGAAGGAAAAGTTTACCTATTAGGATATTTAATATATACAGAAATGCACAAGCTAATACAAAACTGGGAATATGGGTAAACTTTAGATGTCTGAATGGATGGTTATTAAATCAGAGACTACAGTGTGTTCATAAAAATCTAGCAATGTTTTGTTACACTCCTTTTGATTTATTTTATGGAAGAAAAAAACACATTTTAAAGGTTTAAGTAAGTTGCACATTGGTTCGCTACCATTTAATCTCATTTTCTTGTCTTTATTTTAGTTTAACTTAATCAAACTATTAATAAAATAGATAATATTGCTTAGTGTTGTGGCTTTTAATCTGGCACCTGTTTTTCTATAAACTCCTTAAATCACTGTAATAAGGTTAAACTTTTTTCTATAAACATTTATTGTATAAGACTGTAGCATGAATCTTCCTTGATGATTTAACTACTTATACTGAACAAATCGGGTTATCACAACCATAACTCAATCAGGGCAAAAGTAAAAAATAAGATTTTCATCTGATAGTTATTTTAAAAGCTAAGTGGATGTATACACACTCCCTCCAGCTTTATTATTCTTTGTTTGAAGAGATTCTTTTTAACTAGTGCTCCTTAAAATAAACCCTAGAAACATTATTGTCAGGAGCATAATTTAATTTGCCGGCATGTTGATGAACCAACTGTTGCAAATTTACACACCAACCATTCATATTAAAACAACAGAAATCTGACAGATTTAGAATGAAAAAGCTGCCTATGACTTCATCCATTAATATTTTTGTGCATTTTTAGTTCATAATTTTAATTGAAAAAATAAATAAATCAGTCCATATTAGAGGACTGTTGTTCAAAACAAGTTGTCACAAAAAAACTAGAGAAATTGCATTTCCTGCAAAAATTAAGTGTGAACGTTTATTGCTGAAGAACTTGCTGAAAAACAGCTGAATTTAGCTATAAAAAAAAGATGAATTTTTAATATAATAATTTTAGCTGAAAATGAAGAATAAGCCTAAATTAGGAGAAGAAAGAAGAAATAACACATATTTGCTGAATTAGGTAAATAAGCAGAAAAGAGCACAGGAATTATGAAATTACTGTAGCTAAAAAGAAGAAGATGAAATTAGCAACAAAAAAAGCACTAAATAGTAGCTGAAAAGGTAGAAAGAAGTTTAAACTACCAGAAGGAAGAGGAAAAAGCTGAAATAAGCTAAAAAAAAAAAAAAAAAGTGGAATTAGCTTAAAAAGCTCAAAATAGCATAAAACAGCTAAAAGCTGAAATAACTGAAACTAGCAGAAAGGAGGTGGAGTCTCAGTCATCCAGGACATGATAAATTCAAAAAACGTTCAATACAAAAACAACTGGGCTTTATTTGTAACAGAAGACGTTTCGCTCCTCATCCGAGGAGCTTTCTCAATTCACTGAGCAGAGAGTGAGGGGTTCAGGTTATAAGGCTGAGTGAGATAAGATCTCTACAGACCTCTACATTGGAAAAACTAAACAGCCTCTTCACAGACGCATGGCTCAACACAGGAGAGCCAGCTCCTCAGGACAAGACTCAGCTGTTCACCTCCACCTCACAGATAAGGGACACTTAGAGAAAGCTCCTCAGATGAGGAGCAAAACGTCTTCTGTTACAAATAAAGTCCAGTTGTTTTTGTATTGAACGTTTTTTGAATTTAGCAGAAAGGAGATGAAAGGAGCATAACATGCTGGAATTACCGGTAGTAGAAAGAAGTTAATTAGGCTGAAAGTAGCAGAAGTTCCCACAGAAAATTTAGCGTATCTGAAAACAGCTGAAATTAGCTAAAACTGCTAAACATAAAAAGGCAGCTGAAAAAGGTAGACAAGCTTAAATTATCAGAATAAAGCAGAAAGAACAAGTTTGCTGAAAGAAGCAGAAATGAGTACAAAAAATGCGAAAATTATCTGAAAAAAGCTGAAATTAGCAAAAAACAACTGAAAAGTAGCTTTAAAAAAGCATAAAGAAGCTTAAATTGCAGGACTGAAGAGACATTTTTTACTGAATTTGCCTGACTAAAGTTGAAATGAGTGCAAAAAATGTGTAATTAACTAAAAAAGCTTAAATTAGCATAAAACAGCTAAAAGTAACTGAAATAGCAGAAAAAGCTGAAACTTGCAGAAAAAAGCTGAAAGGAGCATAACAAGCTGAAATGACCAGAAATAAGTTAGAAGAAGCACAAAAATGTTGTAGTTAGCAGAAAGAATCTGAAATGAGCACAAAACATTTGAAAAAAACAGCTGAAAGTAGCTGAAAAAAAGTTAAAATTTGCAAAGGGAAGTTGAAAGAAGCTGAACCAGAACAAAATGTGAAAGGAGCAGTAAAAGGTTGTAAACGGCTCTAAAGATTTGAAGGATGTAAAATGAGCTCCATTCATTTTCTATGAGGAAAAAGTGGCAGAAAAGGCTAAATATTTCAAAAAGCTAAAGTTCCACCAATACGAAAAGTCTATTCTCTATTCACTATTCTCCTGAACGTTTTGATATATGCTTTGTTGAAATAGCACAAAAATTGTGGAATGAGAAAAGATGCTGAAAACGTATGGAAGAAAAATGGATCACAATAGTGTGAACGCTTCATAAACATTCACACAATAAGTCTAATTGTATGAAGCTGCTCCAGTAAAAACACCCTTCTTATGGAAGATCAATCAACCTTTATTTATACAGGTAAATCCCATTGAGCCTCGAGGACTCATTTACAAGAGAGACCTGATTTCAACAAAGAAAGATGACAACAATGGACAACAGCAACAACAATAAACAGTTATAAGAAAAGCATACTACAGTTTTTTTTTAGTTTTTTTTTTTATCACATCCAACCAGGATTAAGACTTGGGACACTGCTGTGAATGAACTTTATCCTGGACTGACAAATTGTTCTATACATCACTTACTTTGTGGACCATTTTGTTTACTGAAACAACAGTACATTTTCCCCAGCAAGTCTGTTATCTTTATAAATCTAAATCAGCTCTTTACAGTAAACCCACAGATCAAGTCAGAGTGACAAGTGATAAGAGAGTTTGGTACATTCCTACTCTTACTTTTTCGTCCCTTCGACAACTTTCGGTTTGTTTTTGTCGGACCAGTTTGTGACGTGCAATTGAGGATGATGCATGCAAAGCGCCAAACTTTGGGAATGTACTGCAAACATGAGTGACGGTGTGTGCAGAAGTTAATTAGTCACCATGAGTATTCATCGTTTTACTCTAGTTTGGTTAAAAACCATACCATGTGCAAGTCTGCAGACTCTTTCCACTGACTTCCTCCTAACTGGATTTGTCCTTTGAAAATGTAAAGCTGTCAAACTGAACAACTTTCTTACCTCTTTAGCACTTTTAATCTTGTCCAAGAAAGTATGTAGTTCCTTCGTCTCGGCATAGAGAGCCCGACACACAGCCTGGTAATGGTTAGGAGCATCGGATGGGCTGGGCAGGTGGGAAGAACATATCTATGAAAAAAGGGAAAAGATTTTTAAAAAATGACATTTTAGCATATATCATAAAAAGTATGTCTTCCTCAATAGTTGGGTTTTGTAAATAAATCAATAAATCTAATGCAATCAACAAATGTGCAAAAACATTCTATTGATTTCAACTGCTGTTGCATAATGTAATAGCTTTTTAATAATAAAAGTACAAACAGTCCTTCTTAGCCCATTAATGCAGCCAAATTAGACAAACTGTTTTGTCTTCGTTAACTGTCTGCTGAACCCAGAGCTTGTGCGAACATGACTTCAAGCTTCATTGTGTTCGCACGCTCTGTTGAGTGCATCTTTACACTTAAAGGACTTTTAGAGTCTAATCGGAAAATTAACCTTAAGAAAAGTCTTTCTTGGAAGTACTGGAAAATCCTGGAGAAAGAAAAAAAAAAAAACTAAAATACATTAAATATATGTTAAAAAGATTATGAATGTGCGCATAATTTTTTTTTATGCCATTCAAACCGATACTTGCCAAAAATATTTAAATAAAATAAACATAGCCATCCTGCAGTGGGGCACAGGAAAGTTATGAAAGGAGAGACTGTCAGTAATTTTGCATTAAAAGCCATAAATACCACCCGTCTGATAAATGTTGTGACATTTTAGAATGGACTAAACATAACGTCAGACGGTGCAACGCTCCTTTCCTTAAGGCCATGCTGTCAACATGGTTAAAAACACAAGACTGGAAAAAAAAATTCCACATCTTGAACCAGATGATCCAGTTGGAGAAACACGGCCTGATTATCATTTCTCAGTCACCACGTAAGGCTCTGCCCTGTGAGGTATTCAAGTGATTGTCGTGATAATAAAAGCCGCCTGCCAGACTTAATGAAGCTTTTTCAAATTATCTCAGCTGGAACAAAGAGAACCAGATGAATGGCATATTCTCATGTTTGTTTAGTGGGCTTGGCCGGGCTGACTCAGCAAACAGTGTCTTCATAGGGAGGAGGAAAAAAAAAAAGACACGTGAAAAGTGAAAGTATTCACTGCCTTCTGGACAGTATGTGTTTTTTTTGTTTAAACTAAAAATAATTATTTGCTGATTTTTTTTATTTATTTAAATGTCCTAATTCATACTTGATTCTCATACAGAAAATTTGATAACATTCTCATGATAAAACTTCATTTATCATAAGACTTAGAAATCTACCAGGTATTTTTAACAGTATCACAATTAGCAGGTTCTGGAATCAAGAAGTTGTTTTCTTGTCTGAAACGATTTAAATACTTGTAAGAGTTGGGAGCATGAAAATGGGACAACATCCAGAGATTAGACAGGAATCAGATCATCTCATCAATCCAGGTTACAGCAACGTGATGCAGTCTTCTGTAAACAGAATGACTCTTAAGAAGAATTACCTTCAAACTAGGGATGCACAATATTATCAGCATGGTAATGGTATCGGCCGATATTAGCGTTAAAGTTAAATATCGGACAACGGCCATTCCATCAAAATAACTCTCCAATATAAAAGGCGCTGTTTTTGTATGACAACCCAGTGACAAGGATGCCTGCAGCAGCAGCACAACGTGATGACATCACACGCCTGATCTCACGATGGAGAGGAAAATTCAAAATGTCGGCGGTGTGGAAGGTTCTTTTTCGTTGGTGAGGATGTCGGATTCCAAATTTGGACTACGTTGAGCCTCGCTACATCGTCCACTGTCGGAGATATTTTTCTGACAAAACCTTATCCGAGTTACAAGCCGTCATTTCCAACGTCATTGAGAAACTAACAGCCGATAGCACTTGGGTGAGTTTTACCACAGACATTTGAGCGTCAAGTGTTAGCCCCGTTAGCATGATTAGTCTAACGATACAATGGATAGACAAACACTTTGAACTTAAAAAGTCTGTCCTTCATGCACAAGAGTGCAGAGGATCTCACACTGCAGCTAGGAACCTGGAACAAGCCTCCACAAGTGAGACAGCATCACAGGTGACTAATGCTAATAAATAACATTTAACACTTTTCATTTAATATAAGTTAAAGTGCTATGCATATCATATGGCTGTTACTGAATATATGTCACCAGCTCTTGTAGCAAATGAGCCTAAATAAGAGGGCTATGTTCTGAAAAAAGGAAAGTATATAAAATATCAGTATTGGTATCGGTTATCGGTCAAATAAGTTAACATATCGGCATTTCGAATATTGGCCAAAAATCCAATATTGTGCATCCCTACTGCAAACAAACCAAACATTTATTTTATATGGAGTTCATTAAATGGAAGGAAAAGGCTCTGAGGATTTCAACGTGTTTACTTGGCTTTAATTTGAAGTCTTACTCAGAGACTACTGGGGGACATTAAAATGTGACAGCCTCCAACAGGGGGATAAGTTTGCAGCTGAGGTGGTAATTATGTGCTACTGTGCTGCTTTGTGGACAAACCTAATCTTAAAAAAAAATGAGAAAAAGTATTTATAGCTTGGCAGACTAACAAAGGCAGAAAACGGAAACAAAATGTTGAAGCATAAAGCATGCTGCATAAAATGTCAACGATTGCTTTTGCTCCCCAATTCAGTTTGTCACGGTTTGAAAGATGAGTTTAACAAAGATTTGTGCACACAAGCGCATCAAGAAACCATTAGAGTCATTATACAGAGAGGAGTGTGAAGATTCCCACCCACAGAAACAGGCAATTTCTCATGAGTCACATATGATGCATACTTCATAAAATCTAGATTCATGTATGTGTTTACTTAACCCACACGTTTTAATCAGGTCTCTTGTAAATGAGTCCTCGAGGCTCAATGGGATTAACCTGTCTAAATAAAGGCTGAATGAATTTTAGAAGCACTTGAACACTTGACCAGTTTTATTTACTCAATTTAACAATCTGCATTGTGGTCACTTGTCACCAAGTGTTGCCGCTTTAAAAATTCTTCTAAGCCGACACATTTTTGTGTTGCAAGATGTTTTCTTATGCGTTACAAGACGTAGCTTGAACAAAACAACACCACCTGCACGAAGGCAGGGAATTTCCGCTTGCAATTCAATTCACAGAAAGGTGAAATCAGATGTTTTCCGTAGACCATTAGAGGACCCAACCCCAGAGCCGTACATCTAAATTTAATATGAGTAACATACAAAATGAGCACAGTTGTACGACTTAACATGCTTCATTTATGGCTAATTACACGTTTTATCCAAAGATGTTCAACAACTTCTAAGCTTAAATAGGTTAATTTAGAGGTACTGAAGGGTCCTGTCAAAATACCAAGACAGGAACAGACATCAGTCAAGCAAGCTGCCATTCTTATCATTATCTTTCTGTTGTGCTATTTTCAGTATGAGCGTAGCAAAGGTTGGTCTAAAGGTTTGCAAATATTCTGGTGAGAAATGTAGGCCAAACCAGATTAGCCTATTTAAGGGTATCCATTCACTAACTGAGGGAGTATTTGCAGAGTCACTATTCATATAAAAGCCTAAATAAAAGTTATTTTACACAACACTTCTAAATGTACAACTTTTAGAAACATGTTTTTGGAGGTTTCCTGAGTTCAACCAGCAGAGAGGGATCATCTTTTATAAACGAGCCCCCATCCACACCTCTAACTTACCCCGAGGATGTCAAGATAACTCTGGATTCGGCTGATTGTGCTGGCAGAGGTAACGGCGACGAGCTCCCCTTCCCCTTCTTCTTCCTCACACTCGTCCTCTTCCTCTGTGGCCTCGTAGCCCTCATCGGGACAGGAGTCGCTCTCCGTTTCCTCCATGTTGGTCATCATGTCGATCAGGCGCTCCAGCGGGGGACTGAGCTCTCGCTCTTCATTCTCCTTGAGGCCATAATCCAGAGCTTTGTAGATCATGACTCCCAGCGAGTCAATAACCTGCAGGAAAATAAAGAATTATTTTATTGAAATGGAAAACAAAGCACATTTAGGGAGTTTGGTTTAAAAGTCTATGCTTCTTTTAATTAATGTTCTCTTTTTTGGTATTGATGTATTTTGCGTACATATACGTAAACCCATACGATTGCAAAAATATAATGTTTTTATTTATATTGTTCAAAAACATTATTGTCCTCCATCTTTTTAGGAGGGTAATATGGCTCCCAAAAAGACTGGATCTTTGATTGGCTCGTTAGATGCACATCTATTTAATTCAGTTTATTTCAATTCAGTTTATTTATATAGCACCAAGTCACAACACAAGTCGTCTCAGGGCACTGAACAGAAACATTCATATATATATATATATATATATATATATATATATATAAATTCAACTATTAACATTATTAAGGTAAGGTAGCAAGTGATTAACATTCTGAGTCAACCCAATTCAAGATGGCCGCCACTTGAACGTAAATCAATTCAATTTTTGAAAAAGTCTATTTTTAAATTTTTGAGCTAAAATTGAGTGTGGTAGTAACCGAGACTGATCCTTAACATATTCTGAGTGCTAACCAACTGCACTACTGTACATCTTTGTATAAAATGTTTTCGTTAACTATTTGAAGTAAACTGTGTCTGTTAGCAAAACATCTTAAGAACCACAGGAAAGATGCTAATGGAACTTTCATGAAATAATAATTTTACGCATTTACAACTAATTAAATTTCAAAGTCAATCTAAATCCAAACGCTCACGTGAGTTAATACAAATATAGCAAAAAAACAAAAACAGCTATAACTCACAGTCACTTTTAAAGATACTGTGATCAAATTTGAAGTGGTAGTAGCTGAGAGTCATTCACAACACATACTCTGAGCATGGACTCTCACTTTATCACGGAACGTTATTCTCAAGGTCTGACCCAAATGGCTCCAACTCTGTCAATTTCCAGTTTATGATCTTAATCTAAAACTCTGGCATGAAAAAGTGGGTGATGTTCATGTTTTTAAGGAATGCCAAGTCTTTAAATGAAATGTGTTTTTGCTGTGAAGTATACAAATACTTCATCTTTCCAGGTAACGGAACACAGTTTAAAATTTAGCCCTTGTTGCTCGGAGATTAGCAACACCAGAACACCCTCATGGAACAGTTTGTCTGACAACATCTAAAACAAACAAAACTCATCTGAACAGACAAGTTGAGATCACGTGAAACGAGGCCACCATGTTCAAACAGCGTGATTATTACACGCACTTCACTGCTGCTTCCTCAAATTAATCAGTGACCCATACTTGGGCAGCCTCTTTAAATATCTTTAGCCACCGCAACAGAGCAACTGGACAAAGCTCGACGTTGAGAAGTCTGATCGCTACAGGGAAGAATGAGTTTTTCAGTCTGTTCGTCCTACATCTGGGCTGCAGATACCTGCATCCGGATGGAAGCAACCTGAACTCACCATGGAGTGGATGATCAGGATCTGCCAGAATCAACCTGGCCTTGTTCACTGACCTCACCTTGTGTAGGTCAGTGAGGTTCTGTAGGGCTATGCCAGAAGTTTTGCTGCACATCCTGACAATCCCTGAGAGTCTGTTCCTGTTTTTGCATGTTAAAAGTCCGAACTGCAGACGCCACAACGCTCAGTTTGGGTTTGGGGGTTCTGTTCGTGGGATGGTCCAGCCTCTGTCTGAGGGGCCTGTTGGGTTTAAAATGTACTGACCGGGATGTCAAACTTTGTGTTTGATTAGAAGCGTCCATGGTGAGTTAAATAAACCGTATTTTAATCTCTTACGAAAAGGATAAATAACATTTAAGCTCGTTTATTTCCTTCTAATTCTATTTTGATCCGTCAATCTTGTCAATAACTTTTAATAATTATTACAAATAATCCAAATTTTAACTTTGAAGCTCTTTATATCCTTTAAGACACAGACACATTTCTGCACAAACTAAACTTAAAATATATTCATGCTTAAGCCAATAAGATTTACTGCTTGCTTATTTATTACAACTTTGCTTATTTATATGTTTTTTTCTTGTAAAAAAATAACCATAAGCTGAAAACTGACCAAGTACATCAAAGCTGACGCAATTACAATAAGGTTTCATGCTGCCTTGGTAATTGATGCTAAAATAATTATTTGAATGTTTTGGTTCTTTTATTTTTACTTTTCGTCATGAAATCTATATATATAAAACTAGAGTTAGAAGGAGGAGTATATATAAGAACTAATTATTGTGAAAATGTTTAATACTTGCAGGAATGTAGGGAAATAAAATGTTAAACACTCAAACTGATCCAGCACTTTCTGACCCTGCTTTAGTGTGCTGTTATCATGTATCCACCATCGCCAAGTGCAGCTGATAATCCTGTTCCAGGGCTAAAACAAATATCCTACTCCTTACTGCCTTATTATGTAACATTATAATCCATCTGTAGAACATCATGACACGTAGTGGGAAGTGAACGAGGGGAATGATAGACTGACGTACAGTAATGGGAATTTCATTCATCAGCCACAGCGATGTAGAGGTACAAAACTGTTTTAAACCAACAATTTAAGGAGCTAAACTTATAATCTTTTTAAATGATTTTTCACAATAGTTCTCCACATTTTCAGAATTCAGCTTCAAATGGACTTCAAGTTTAAGATTTATACTACTGACTGGCAAGTTGTGAACAGATTTAGTTGCTGGTTAAGTCGAAGTATAGCCAATATAAACCCCTTATTGTTTTACGGAAGGCAAGTAAATCATTAAAGTACAAAAATAACCTGGTTTGTTATTAATTGCTAGAACACTGAATCTTACATAATCACAACCCAAATGATTAAAAACCTATAGGTCACATGAACAATGCGTCATTATCCTAACGGTGTTGTAACTTTCCATCTGTGAAGAAATTCGTCCAAAGGAATGGGGAAAGGACAACTTCCCAGAAAAACAGCCTGACTGTTGGACAGAACAGGAAAATTATAAACACAGCTGAGCTTTCAAATTTCACATCTTCTTTGAAGACTTGTGACTCAGAGGAATGACGCAAGAAAGTGAGGTAGAGGAACAGCAGGAGGGAGGACAAGTACCGTATTTTCCGCCGTGCATGTCGCACCGCCTTATAAGTCGCATCAGTTCAAATATGTCTAATAAAGTGGAAAAATCCATAAATACGTCGCATCTACTATGCGTCACCGCTGATGCGTCGCGTTTGTTACGCGTCACCACCGACAACCTGGAAATGTGGACCTGTGCCTCGGTGCTCCGGGAGCACGCACAGGGAGGAAATCAATAAGGAGGAATGCTGCACATTTCTTCAAAATTTAACAAGATAACCACCTAAAACAATTATTTGTTAGCCCGACATTATAGCAAAGGTGTGTCTCAGTTGAACCTTTACTTAATAAATGCACTTCAGTGGTCAAATTATCTGCATTTCATCAGGGCGGCACAGCGAAATGAAGCTGGTTTGACAGTTGCTCTAGGCGAGCTGGACGAAGGTGGCAGGCTATGGCAAGCCGATTGTGTCATTAATAGCCACTTTTACCTATTACATGACACAACGACATGCCATACTACTCGAGTGCCATCTAGCAGCTGAAAATGGTAGTATTCAATATTTTCAGTCAGAATGAATGAAAACGGTCATATCTCAACCAAAAATTGGTTTATAAATATGGGAAAAAAACAAATATGTCGCTTTGGTGTATAAGTTGCAGGGCATGCAAATTATGCAAAAAAAACTGTGACTTATAGGCCAGAAAGTACGGTATGTGAATCAGTTGAGGGAGGAGGGGAAAAAAAAAACACAACTGGGATTTAAAAAACGAATTATTAGGTAATAAACTACAAACTGGAACTATGAACCATCCAGAAGAGGTTGGTGCCTCTTCTGATGATGATGAAACTCAAATAAGCTCCAGTGGTGAGGTCTTAGCCAACTACAGGTGGCACAAGACGTCGTCAAGTCCTTCTTAAGAAATCCATTAAACTGAGTCATAGTCGTCGCTAAGAATTAATTCAGCTTCGGAACAGAAACAGACATTAGTGTTTACTAAACCCACAAAAGTCAGAAAACGTGTGAGCAGCTTAGAAACTCCCCCGGTCCATTCAGAATGTGATGCTGCATCCGTCAGACAACATTCTTCACGGCTTAGCATGAAAACACTGTACCAAAACAAACAGTGATGTCAGAGAGAAGTTCTCTTGGCCCAACAACTACTTCTTGTTTATAATTTAAACTTTGTTTCTTGAGGGAACAAATCTGTCCATTAGGGCTACACAACATAACTATTGAACCACAAAACTATGGGAACATACAATGATGAGAACACATAACACATTATTATTATTATTATTATTATTATTATTATTATTATTATTATTAGTTTACAACTCTGTATAAATAAAGTGGCTGATTGGTTTTTGGTTTGGTTTTTTGCCAAACCGTTATCTGATTTCTTGTAAAGTTCCATTATTTAACTTGATGCATAATTAGTTGAACATTAATAATATGAATATGAACAAGCAAAGATATTAGAGATGTGTCTCTCCTGTATGAGACCATCTGATGCAAATCTAGGTCCAAGCCGGGTACAGTACGCTTTGTTTCTTTCCAACATGGCTCTTCAATGTGATGCAGTATGATAAAGTTAATAACATTTGCTTCAAGTCATTTTTCACTCGAAATAAAAAAGCCATTTGTTTGCGTGCTGACCTTTTTATAACTACTTCAAACAAATATACAACCCCAAGAAATCACAAGTAATTTTACTGCGATTTGTGACTAATCTGTCACACATTGTTGGTTAAATACCATCAAGTAAAATAACTATTTAATATTAACACTGTAAACCATAATTCAACTCAAACTCTTACATCTTTTGCAATAAAACTTGTTATTAGACAGTAATAAAATCTCAACCAGCACAAAGCTGCATTTAACCCTCACAGATTTAGATTTGTTATCATGTTATAGTAGATCATTTGATATGTCATTTTTG